AGTTATGGCGATGAATTGTTCTTCGAATGCTCTTATTATTCCTCTTTCACCATTGAAACTAGAGATATAGAAATGCTTCAACAAGATGTATTTTCAAATTAATTGTCTCATTGCGCCACTCTAGCCTATAGTGGTTGATTGACGTCTGTGTGTTAATGTTAAAATAAGGGACAACGAATGACAAACTTATGCTAATCATGTAATCGCAATAGATCATTCTTTGTTTTTGTCGAAACTATAAACCACTCACTCCTCATGGATCATTCATCAATACTGATCGCGTTTCCCTTCATCAACAGTTTTCCTGAAAATATCTTTGGTGAAAACTTTAAATGACGGGCATGATGATAGAGGCAAGAGGAGAGGTTATTGATTGTGTTTTGTGATTGACATTAAGTGGAGAGGTCAAACCTTACTCAAACAAATGGGTATAAGTATAAGTAAAGGCGGAATAGGAATATAATCTTGAAGTACATTTTAAAATAATTATGCAGGTCTGTTTTTATACATTATATTCATTTCAACTTAAAATTTGTGCTTAAGAGTTCTTAAAAATAGCGTTTAATTGAAAATTTGCAATTATTAGAGAATCAATTTTTCTATAAACACTAGTAATTAAATGAAAATGACTTAAGCTGATTGTCTTTAAATAAGGGCATTATCATTTGTTACTATTTGTGCACGACACTTCTGTCTCTGACAGAAATCTCATGAACACTCAAACAATCTCGAATGTGCTACCGTGTTACTGATCAAGTAGCGATCAAAGTGCAGTCGTGAGTGCAATCAGTAATCAATAGTCGTTCTAATTTTTCATCCTACTCTTAGGTTTGTGGTAGTGACACGAAAAACCAGAATCAACACTGTTCAAAACATGCTATTGCTTGGATGTGCTGTTGTAGATTCGCTCACTTCGGGAGCGATTTCATACTAGAGGATTTTCCCACAGGGATAACCAAGGTTAAGTCCTTTCAAAGTTTTGATAATTTACCATTCAGCAATTCCAGATCGAATTGTAGAAGTTGTTTAGCGTTTGATTTTATTTTCACTTGAGGAAGAAAAGGATAATTTTAACATGAAATATCCATTTAGAAGTAGTCCTAAAATTGATGTTTTTGGTTTTAAGACTTTCTTGTGCAAATTGTTAAGCAAAATAACAAAACTCTTACACACATTCATTTTTTCTCCAGAATCATTAATCTGGCTTGGAATAATTGCAAGTTTGATTATCAACCTGTTGACCATCAATTATTATTAATTAATTATAAATAGGAAAAAAGGGGTATAAATGGAAATAAATGGTGCCTCTCCGACTACCTGAATCTATATTTCTTAGTAAACTCTTTATTCCGATATATATATATATATATATATATATATATATATATATAACGGAATATATATATATATATATATATATATATATATATATATATTAGTTGCAGTATTCCCATAGTCCCATTAGTAGCTAAATCAATTTTTTAACTACTGAGTGAAACGCGCTTAACATTTTAACGACCAATTTAGTTTTCTGAAAACAGTACCAAACCGCAATCACCCATGTCTGTTGCCGCCGACATGATGAGTATCGGCAGTATCAGGCGAGGGCTACAGAGATGCAGTGAACATATTTCAAAAGGGCAATAGTGCCTTCTATTATGAGTCTAGTACCAATGGAGATCATTTCCAAAGAGGACCGTACAGTCCTAAAGGTGTTAAAGGTTAAAAATATTTATTTTGAGTAGACGATTTAGTGCATGTGTGGTGGTGGCTCTCAGATTCACCAGAATTTTCTACACAGTGCCTAAAGACACGAATATCGGAAATCATATGCATTATTGTAGGGTCTCTGTGATAAGTAGATTTATCAATAAAAAAATGGTAACGATTTAATCTGATAAATATTATTTTACTTTGTTCTCTCTTTTACAGCTCTACATTACTGGTATCTCAAACAGACCAATAAAATTTCATTCAGAATTTTAGGCAATATATTTTGAATTGTTTTTAAATGCTTCTATATTATTTTATTAAAAAAAATTTTATACCACAATGCCTTGCATTTTTTATTCACTTTAAGCAGAGATCGGCTAGGCATTTTATACCATTAATGGGGTTATATACTTGTATTGGGCAGCCATTTGTGTGCCTTAAATTTCGGCATTTTTAACTTAACAAAGAACGCCTAGCATTTTTAAGGTTATCTGGTTCTAAATTGCAGGTGTCTATGTTTACTACACCAAAATCTTTTCAATTTCTTGTCAAATGCAGTCAAAACAAACTTCGCGTCTATTTAAGCAGATCATATGTCACCTCTCTCTAGTCTTGCGTGCAGTTGGATCCGAAATTTTCCCACTTTAATTAATTGCCTGGTTATAAAACACAGCAAAGATTTATTTTATTCAACATTATTTCTTTTTCCAAGCAATATACGGACAACTTTTAACTAAACGGAACAAATTTCAGCGCATGGAAAAGAAATTATTTAAATGCATTAAATTTCTGTGTGAATTAAATTTTGACTGAATTTATCTTGAGGCAATTGGTGTGGACATTTTTTTATTTTGTACGTTCATTGTGTCTGCGTACACTTGGTCTAGTTTAAAAATTTGAGATTAAAAATTTAACTAACAAGCCAACAAAATCAATATATTTGAAACTCAGCATAAATGGCTTTCATTTGAGAAGACGCAACTATATGCCTGAGCTTAAACGCCCTCCAGAAATGAAATTGAAGCCCTCCATCTTCTCATTCTTTGAACTTGTGAGCCTTCAACTGGACTTTCGGATAACCCCAGTATGTTTTGATGGGTAAATGACGCTTCAAGTGGATTCGAACCTCTACTCAAAGTCTGTTTTGATTTAGCAGTTAACTTCAAAATGTATGGGCGATTAATTTGAAAATATTCGTATCTAATGGTATAAAAAATGAAATTATAACTTGGCTCGAGACACTTCAAGAGTCCTCTTCATCTCAGAAGTAATGATGCCAAATCTCCAAGATTCTGATTGTCTCTCAATTGGCCTTGCGTCTAGATTATACATTTAAATAAACTTGCGCAACAGTGGTAAAGGCTTTTGCTAAAATGATATTAAGCCTAAATCAGAATTACAAATTGAATAGGGAAGACTGGGTATTGGCGTTTGAAGCAGGTGTTTCTTTTTCTTTCAAGTGGACAAATGTAAATAATGCGTATATGGCGAAGGAGGCCAAACAGTCGAAATACTAATGAAAACAAGTTCTTTACATCTTTAACGTTTTTATTCATTTTTTTGTTTACCTCACAAAAGAGGGTTGAAAACACACGCGAACACGTTATAAATGCTGCTGATTGTCGGTTATTAAGAGGTACTTGAATGACTATCGGTGATGCTTGATAAATCACTCTACCTAAATTTTTGATGACGAATTGAGAAAAAAAAACAAAATTTTATTCGAAAGGAACTATAATGAAGGAAAGGGCTTATACTAACTCAGACAATTTATTATCTACAGAATGAAGATTCTTGAGTGCTGGCATCCTCTATTTGATTGATGAGCGACCATGCAAAAACTGCACTATGGTGACTACGAAAGAGTGAATGAGGGTCTGAATACTTTCAACAACATTAAGGTATAACCATGCCCACTTTAGACAGTATGTTGTAGGTAATTTCAATCAAGCTGACGCCAAGGCATTCTTTTTACGTCGCCGATTTTTCTTCTCTCTGCTCCCACTTGAATGCTTTCGAACGTAATAGAGACTGAGGAGGAGGAGGAGGAAAGTGATATCTCACGTCGTTATCCACTAATCCGCCCAATTATATTGCTAAGCATATTTAGCTTATCACATCAATTTTCGAAATTAAGGCGAAATCGAATTGATCGCATCACCAGTCATAAAGCCTTTTGCCCGGAGTCAAATGCAACCAAAGTGTGCGCCATTATATGTTAATAAAAAGACGAAGTCATTGGACTTGTTAGATCTAGGAGTGTATTAATATCCAATGTGATGATCTTGTTGTAATTTGAACACATGGCAGTCCAATGCTTGATTACTAGCGAAGATAACCCAAATATATTAATTAAATCTTTTAGTCCCAAGAAAACAAAACGGTTATATTCGGTGCTACGTTAGAGTATTTGTTCTAATAAGGACGTTTTAAAAAATTAATTAAGAAGTCAGTAAGTGCCATTAAAACAAAGTAACCTTTCAAGAAAAATACGACTTCATTTAGCTAATCCGAAAGGGGGTGGTCCAACCTAATTGCAGCTTTAAAGCACCACACACTCCTATTGGTCGAGGTACTTAGCTGCCTCATAAGTTGTCAGAGAACACTCACCTTCTATTATATTTAATTCTTGCGTAAGATTATATCTGTTGAAGGAGATTCAAATTAAAAGATATAACTTAATTGATTTGAACCAATAGTCACTATTAACTACAGCTTGCCACACTTGCAAAATTCACTATGTGAATTAGTTGAGTGTGGCATTAATCTTTGTGATGAATTCTTGTATGAATCTAAGACGATCGGAGACATTAGCAGACCAATCATGAACCATCTTTAATATGTTTTTTTGTCTCTACCACACAGCCCTAATTCTTCTTGCCAACCTTGTCCTTGCGTTATCAATATAATCACTATCAGCAATCCAAAAGATGTCCAGCAATAAGCAAACTACTACCAATGATATGAATGGCCATAAAAACATCCTCTAAACTGTTAAGAGACTGTGAAGTACATTCGCCTTAATCAATTAAGCACGGAGACTACCTTTCAAAATATCATGCATATTTGTGGAGTTAATTAATCATAATTATCCATGATCAATTTACCGACGAATCTACTGCCATTTCGCTAATAACAATTTATCAAGGCAATTAACCAGTGATGTAAGCACACGTGATAAAGCGTGAAGTACACGTGTATTTCTTAGGGTTTAATTGTCGTGTTTTATTTCTACAATTTCCAGAACAGTTGAAGTAGTCTCACAAGACACCGATGAACAAAATCAAATGATAAATCGACTCTTCCGAACGAGTTCTTCCAATTCCGTAAACAGTCCGAATGAATTTGTAATAAATCAAGAATGGAAGTTGATTAAACGCATTGGTTCAGGATCATTTGGGGAAATATTTCTCTCTTTAAATAAAAAAACTAAAGTCGAGGCTGCAGCTAAATTAGAAATCATCAAATATGGGAATCCATCTCAACTGAAATTGGAATACGAACTTCTCAAACGTCTAAATAATGCTTCTGGAATTACAAAAATTTATTGGTTTGGAAAAGATGGAGTTCAAAATCTATATACCGTTCTGATTATGGAGCTCCTTGGGCCTAGTCTTGAGGACCTCCATATATATTGTGGTTTAAAGTTTTCCCTCAAGACAGTTACTTTATTGGCAGATCAAATGATAAAAAGGCTAGAATCTGTACACAGATGTGGTTTAATCCATAGAGATATGAAGCCAGATAATTTTGCTATGGGAATAGGCCAGAACCTGAATACAGTTTATCTTATCGACTTTGGATTATCAAAGCAGTATGTTGATCCAACAACTAACGAGCATATTCCGTTTAAAGATTTTAAGCATCTAACTGGAACAGCTCGATATTGCAGCATTAACGCTCATGCAGGTATTGAACAGTCAAGACGTGATGATATGGAATCCCTTGGATATGTTCTTATTTATCTCTTGAAGGGCAATTTACCTTGGCAAGGACTTCAAGCAGAAAGCAAACGAGAAAAATTTAGAAAAATTCACAAGACGAAATCGGCTATAATGCCTGAAGTTCTCTGTGAAGGGCTTCCGGGGGAGTTTCTCAAGTACATCACTTATTGCCGAAATCTTTCCTTTGAGGAGGAACCAAAGTACAGGTATCTACGAAGTCTATTCTGGAAGATAATGGATAGAAATGGATTTAAATATGATGCGCATTACGATTGGTTTACACAGAATTCTGAGTGATGGAATTTTTTTGTTAATTTATGAAAGTGATTAATATTTTATTTTATATTTTAACCTTATTTGTAAAGAAATTAATTTTATTTGCGTATTAATATGATTGAAACAAATTCTATTAACTAACTGACTCATTTTGATGAAGAGTGTTGATTGAAAAAAAATACAGAAACCGCTTAAATTTTTATTAATTGTAATTTTGCACATATTTGATTAAAGTAACATATGATGAGATATGTGGTTTCTATTCTAATCGGAATATGTGCATTGATAACTTTCTGAAAAATGAAACAAGTCAAATTAAGTTCTATTGCATGTTCAGGAAAAGTCCACAGGTTCGAAGCATGTTTTATGATAAACTAAGTGGTGGACGCTCCATGGTAACGCCATAAAATTATTACAAGGAAATGCTTTCCCGAATGCGTTTACAAAACGTTTTTTTGTTTAAAAGGTCAACTTAGTTTATATTTGGTCTTATTTATAATTCGAGACACGAAGGGCTTGAAAAGTCTTTCATGGAATCTGCATTAAGAATAAGAACGCAAACTATACCATTCTTCAAACTTAAACAATGAAGTTTTTATAGAATCCGCATTTCCTCAAAAGTACAATTTTAATGCATTTCTAGTCATAAAATTTGAACATAAAATAATATTAAAGGCCTTGTAAATGAAGGTTTTCAAAGCGAAAATAGAATTTCACCACAAAATGCTTTAATAAAAATTCAACTTTTTATTCGAGAAAACTATAAGTTCTGAAATCATTATGCTTTATTTTTATTGGCTCATTCTTATATTTCAAGGTCGAAATTAAGGTTTGCTTAAATATGAACGACTTTAGTCATCTTCTTTCGCTAATTTTCTCTGTTTGCAAAAAATTGGGTTATCAGGCTTGTTAATCGATACGACTCACAAATTAAAACAAAGGAAAGAGAGAGCAAGACATGTGAAAAATATTCATCATTAAGTAACAATTTGCATAAAATGCTGAGTGTGCATATGTTCATTAGTCAAAAAAGCACTTTATTCATAAAAGTCAGGAAAAATTCTAAATTACTGAGTGATTTATTGAGCTCATTTTCACTTGGGAAAAAATATTTATTATAGGAATAAGGTAAATTGGATAGTTGCATCCCAAAACATTTCAATGAGGAGGCAAAACGAGGCATTCTGCTGTGAGTTTGTCTTAAAAGCAAAGGCGTTTGACAGCATTTCTCCAGGATCTTCTGTTGCGGCTAATATCTTTCTTCGGTGAGTACCTCAAACCCTAAATTCATCGCAGATTGAATAATCCTTATCAATTGATAAATTTTATTAAAATATAACTCTCTCCCTATAGCTTGTATATTTGAATGAAGGAATTTAACTTGCCCACAGAGTGAACAGATGCAAAATTTTGGTGACTATAAATCTCCTGCCATCAATCAAATTTTCTGTAATTTAAAGACTTCAAGAAAAAAATAGGCATAAGAGTTCGATTACTATTCTTGAAAATCGTTCTGCTGTCCCTCATCATCTTTGTGTAAGAAAGAAATTGATTTGCAAATACTCTTCTTCATACTTTCAGGAAGCATATCTTAGTCACCCTCCGCCTCTAGTGAAGCTATTCACGCAATGCAATTATATGAAATATATAATAACTTTATAGATGACCGGTAATTATTATATGTCTAGACCTTAGGCAATTATGCCTACTGTGTATTGCAATTTTAAAGAACTTTAACAAAATGTCATGATACTTGCGAGAAATGCGAATGAATATAAATTATACGTTAAATTGGTCTTTATACGGCTGGAACGCCAGATATACCGGGAAATGAAACAGCACTTTATATGAAGAAAACTTTTGCTTATTTCATTTAAAAAATCCCATTTATGCAATTGGAAATAGAGGTTCCGGCCATTATGCATTACTTTTCCGGTCGTTTGAAGTGACTTCCACTTTATAAAATGTTCTTTTTTGACTTGCAGCTTCAGCGATTTTTTAGGATAATCCAGGACTAAATAAGTGTGTTTGAAAATTTAACCCATTTTATAAGGGTATTTTTCATAAGCCATTTTCTAAAGTTTTTCATTCAACCAGACATTATTATTTCTTCACTAAAAATTAGGAATTATCCAAAAAAAGTCGAAGCGTCTTGTCAGTCTTTCTTCCAATCTGATGAATTAAAGTTTGTTCTGACGGATATATAAAATTATGCGAATTGTTATTTCGAGATGAGTGAGCGTTTTGCTGTGGGAAAAAAGGTCTGAATATGCACATAGATGGTGATTGATAGTGGATTTCATAGTCGCTTAAACGTACCGTTTAGAATTGTTGAATTGGAAGTTCCCAGCGCCCATACCTTCATATGTATTTTTATTTGAAATAAGGAAATGCTAAATAATTTACTATCAAAAGGTCACTCAGAATTGTGCTACAAGTCAATTCTTTAATTATTTGGAACACTGGCTCGAGGTGAGGGATAAATGGACATGTTTGTAACTACAAGTGCACATTATCTCCGAACAATAAGTAAATTAGAACTAGCAAATGACATGCAAACTTATGTCAACAAATTATAAAGTCTCGAGATAGCTATAATCCCTCTTTTGAAATTTGATTTATCAGAATCAAGATCTCTTAATATCACACATTAATTTTGTTTAAATATTATGTATATGATCTTATGGATGTAGCCATTATTCTAATTGACGCGACACCAGAACTGTCTGGATGTGTCAGAGCTTATTCCCTACTCCGCTCCCCCCAATTTGGGCGTTCCACTGTTAATCAATTTCTATCCGAGATACCATCCATATCTGGTCGTTGATGTCTCCGCTTCATAATTGACAGCTGCCGGAGGTACTACATCCTTAACCCTGGAACCCTGCGGTGGATGATATTGACAATATTTAATAGTTTTGGATAGCTGACTCATAGTTGACATATCCCGTCAATAGATTTTTATAATATCTTTGTAGGACTAACAGTGTCACAAAGCGAAAATAAATTGGTTCATAGAATTCAATATCTTCTTGAAAGATGTTGGAATAAATACTAAAATGGCATATGAATAAAACTGTATAACTTTGTCAACACTTAATAAAACCTTGAAACTACATCCGCATAAGTCGATTTTAACAACTAAAAGAAACTAAAAAATTCTATATATTTCATAGACATAATATATAATTTAAACAGCTTTGTGTTTTCTCCAAAAGAAAACAGTAAAATCGAATATTCAATATTAATAATAAAATTTATCACTTTTCACCCTTAGAATACCCGCCTTATGTTCTATCTTATTACAAGAGGAAAAGTGGATTTTGAAATTTTCTAGAGTAAATTCTGGAGGATACCACGACCACGACTAAACAGAGAGCAGGAAAGATGGAGCTCTGATGTTCTTAAATGGAGATCAACTGGAAGTTAAAATCTGCATCGTTGCTTATAGCTAGTTGTCAGGGCATTGAATTAACTGGCAATTTCATAATTTTTCTCCCGAGAGAGCCTTACCCCACTTAGTACTCCATAAGGTTAAGACGTAGGCGTCTGAATTCAATCGAAGTCCTTTAGAGGGCTCCTTACTTCTTAAACCCATAAATCGTGTAGTGATTTTCATCTTAACGACAATTTTTCCATCGGTTTTTTGTCTTTTTCGACAGCCTTCCTCTCCACCTAATAGTCTGTTTGGTTAGGACCCGAGAGGGTGGAAGGGGGGAGTAGTTCGAAGGCTAACATTACATAGAGATTGGTGTAGTAGTACCAATTGTTCCAAAACCATTTCTGACCTTTCCTGGAGTGACCAGGTAGCAGATCCTACCGCTGCACGTGAGGCCACGTAGGCGCGTGAATTCGATCGAAGCCCCTCGGAGGGCACCTTACCTCTAATGCGTCCTTTAGACTCTATGCTACCCAAGCCAACTCCCATTAATCGTGTGGTGCTTTTCATCTTGACGATAATTTTCTCATCGGATGTCTCACTGCTTAGAGGTTACTTCGTCTTTGTCAGATGTTGTGAGGCCGTGTAGTAGTGATGGGTCTTTGTTGATTCGGCATTTCATAGTAGAGGCCGAAACATTCAATTGGCAGTGGTGACATGGCTCAATTGTAATACTGAAGCAGATTTTCTGGGAAGTCTGCTGAGTGAGCCCAGTCAGATCAGATTGCTTGATTGTGTTGCTTTCCTCCAACCACAGCAACCACGTTGTCCACATTGAAAGTCCCCTTTTCATGCTAGTCTGTTAACACGGTGTTGATCGAGCACTTAGCAGCGTCCGTTATCTCCTTGTTTCCATAGCCATTCGACTTATCATAGTACATGTCATTCTTTGGTAGGAATCAGCTGGATTCCACTCTTCGAGTATGCGAAGGAAAGACATTTTAATTGAAATTCAGTGTGTGCAAACACCTTAGACACATCTTGAGAAAAAACAATTAATTTCTCATCAGCTGAATTTTTTGCGCAAATAACTGTTACTAGAAGCAATTGTTAAGATATCTATCCGCCATGTGTATCGATTAGTTACAAAAATATTAAATGTGGAAAGTGATTTGTTCTTACAATGATCCATTTATTTTCATTTGTCTTTTTATAAATGTAATGATATCCAATGAGTAAGTTTGTATACTGTTTGAATAAAGCGGGTTTTGGCATGAAACTATGAAGAAGAGATGGATAAAGGAGGTGATCATATGCATATTCACTTACTTATAAATAACTAGTGAATGAAATAGTTCGGAAGTAGTAACTACCTGCGTGGAAACGACTCGTTATCGAAAGAAAAATCTGCAAGCAGTAATAGTGTAGAAAATACTTCGTCTTCCAACCAACTTTCGATTTTAGTGACGAGCAAGTGCCGTTATATGAGTTGAAAAGTAAATGAAACTGTTTTTTGTTGATTTGCCTTTTGTAGGGTCTTCATGCTTCAAGAGTCAAAAGTCTTTTATCTTTTTCTTTTTGTTATTGGCTTTTTCGATTTTGATTAAATTACAATCCGTTCCTTTTTACTACCTAAAGTCGC